GAAATATGAGAATAAAATTTCCAAGAAAAGTGTTTTTTTTTTAATTAAACAATACCAAAATAGAAAAAATAGTATAAAATATTCGTTTCATAAGACATTTTATCGCACTCGCCCTTTAGAAAACTCGCCTCCGGCTCGTTTTCTAATATAGGGCTCGTGCGATAAAATGACGTCTTATGAAACTTGTATTTTAATGTACTATTACATACACTATTCAAATACACTATTTTTAACATTAATGAAAATAACAGTTTTAAGTATCAGAACGCAAATAATTCACAATTAGCCCTATTTTAAGCTCATACATTATTTGATGACAAATTTGATGACACTTAAACAAAGGGTTTGTGTGCCTCTTGGCGGCCATTTTAATTCAAGTTTGACAGCATCTTGGATAGTCTAAGTCCGGTATTCATAGTGCCTACTTGAGTGCTGAGGATTCCTTGAAGGTGACCTTCGCAGTAAATTGTCTTGCAGAGTCAAAATTGTCAAGGTGTCCTTACGCCGCTCATGCGTATTTCGGCACATTTCCTTCCTTGACTTGAGGAATGTCCAGAGGTCCCTTGAGACTGGTTTTCTAACCTATTGGTGACAGCACGTGAACCTAATTGGTGACAGTACGTGAACTGTATTTCATTGATGTGCAAAGTTTATTTTAAGTATTGTAATTAGTATGGATGAGCTGGAAAATTTATTTGCAGAGATAAATGTCGCTGATGATGATAACCGCGTGTGGCTAAATTCAGCTGGTATAGGCACCGTGGTGGAATGGTAGAAAAAGCAGTATTAAATTAAACAGGCATTAGCATGCATTAGTGAGTCGATAAATCACTGCATCCGTGGCATTGCAACATTTTGGTGAATTTAGCCACACGCGGATTGTGCTGCGGAGGCCAAGAAGGTACATTCAAGAATCGAGACATGCTGAATCCATTAGGATTCTAAATTAAAGAAGTAGTCCATGTCTCAAAGTGGAGTTGAAATTCCAAAAGAATACACAAAGTCTTCCTCCACAAAATACTTTGATCAAGTTAAAGCGCTCTACATGTTTCGAGACAAGAAGCTCTCTTCATCAGAGGCAAGTTCGCTCACATATTACAAAAGAACAAAGTATTTCAGGTCGCTAGACTTCGCATTTGGTAGAGGAAAAAGAAACAGAAAGTTGAAACACCAAAAAATTAATAGATTAATTGTATATACACGGTGTAAAAAAAATAGTGTACCGGACTTCGAGGGGTAATACTACATATGAAAATAAGAAAAAAGTTCCTATGAATATGCCCTAAGATGCTCCCTGAAGAAGTTACAGCCCTTCAAATGGTAGATGAAAATAATAGATTTTATTTATTTTCACGAATATTGCATCAGTGCCAAAATATTTTCCTGGAAATTTGGTAATTTCGCATACATTTTGATACCAAAGCGAATGGTGATAGTAAAAAAAATCGTAACAGTTCCGAAAGGGTAGTTTCAATAAGGGAAGAGGGTAGTTTACTCACAAAACAAAAAAGTATCTTAGGGCATATGTTCATAGGAACTTTTTTCATTATCTTCATATGTAGTATCACCTTTCAAAGTCCGGCACCTACACTATTTTTTTACACTCTGTATAATTTTCGTTATCTTGAATTTTTAATAATAATTGACTTCGCTACGTAATATTATTCTTATTTTGTCAATTATTATTCTTATATCGCGAAGCAACTTCATGGTTGTCGGTTATCTACAAAATGGTCAAGGAAATACAATTTTCATCCCAGGCAGCCTGTTTTCCCTAGAATAATGAATTTGTTTGGATTTAATTCAGAATGAGGTCTGAATTGAACTGCGCTTGCGCATTTGTTTATTTATGTTCTTTATGAACAAATGCACAAGCGCAGATTATTTCAGAACTGATTCTGAACTAATTCCGAACAAACCTAATACGGCGTCTATTTTTTTATTTTCAACTATGACTCTATGCTGAGCTCCCATCTGAACCAAGAGCATTTTCTCAGTCTCAGTGTACTTGTACGCCATAATTACTTGCGCATGAATTCCACAGACAAATCACATTTTCTACAGCTATCTGACCTTTTTCTCATAGAACCATATATTAATAATGACAACTTAATGACAATAACAATAGACATTTCGTAGAAACCGTTGTTGCCAGTTGCAAAACTTATGCCAAGGCTTCCTTCAATAAGGATTCTTTAATTCGCTACTATGAAACGCCAAAGTCGCATACCACCAAGGCGTCCTTATTCAAGGCGACCTTCAAGTCACGAGGAGTCCTTAATTTGAGGTGTGACTGAGAATACGGGCCTAAATTTGTAATTTTAAGGCGGGTACCCAATATAATCAATTCAGTACGCAAAATAATTCGGTTTCTGAATTTTGTTGAGAGTGTGTTGGGTAATTTAAAACTCAATATTCAAGATTTTTAATTGAAAATTTATTGTTTGATTTTTTGGTCGGTCATTGACCGAATGACCTTACAAGGGAGCCGCGCCTGGTAACACGAAAGGAAAAAACCTAAATTATTGTTAATCAGGCCCTGTCTCGTATCCCAAAATGACCGCTAGTGACATCCCGACCATGAATTCCTTTATTACATGGGCTGTCACTCGAGTTAGCCTGCTGATTGTTTTTGTATATGCTGTGCTAGGCTCATACTTTCCATTGATATCAAAAAACAAAAAGAAACAAACAGAAAAAAAAAACTCAAATGTCGATTACTGGAATTCAGATATAAAATCTTCAAATCACATTACCCCCAAAAAATAAAAATAATGTTTTGGTAAATTATCTTATCTAGGTATGGTTCAATAGATTATGTGAAAAGCACCTGTTTATACAGTAGAGCCAAGGGAAAAAAAATACAAATTATTATGTTAAATGTTAATGAAGGAAATAAATCCGACTTTTAACTACAGAATTTTATACGGCTGCCTTCAATTATTTATAGTTTCAAAAAAACAAATACTTTTTATTTCAATAATAATCACCGATTATCTAATACACAACAGTTAGGTATCCCTTAATATGCGAGCCATTTCCATTTATCTATTATTTGTTTTCACTTAATACTTTAATGCATGTGACAACAGAACAAACATTCACCTCGGTTGTTTACTGCCACTGATAATTGCTCCAAATTGATAATATAAACAGATTACAAGGACCTCACTAGTTATAACAGATTTTTTTTTTGTCCAAAATGTATTATGAATTACGCGAATCGAGACGTTTTTCTGGAACTTATTTGTTTTTAAGAAAAATTACAAGCTTCTATTCTGCAGGCAAACCTAATTTCCGGTTCCAATTAGACATGTCCTGGTGAACTTCTTTTCCTTTTCTTTTGCAGGACAGTGTTTGTTTCGGTTATAGTGTAAGGGTAATAATACAGGGTGTCCCAGCCGAGAGTGACCCATTTTAAATGCTTAAAACTTTTAAACCAGGTGAGCTAGCTACCTGGGCCCGTATTCTCGTAACGGGGAACAGCTTTCTCTCAAGAGAACGATTGCTCTGTCTTTGTCAGTATTATGGAAATAACAATATGGGTGACTAAGACAGAGCCAATCGTTCTCTTGAGAGAACGCTGTTCCCGGTGACGAGAATACGGGCCCTGCGGTTTGTGCCATTCGATTTCTGTTGGTCAAAAGTTTTTTCCAGTAGGTTTCAAATTTTTTTAAAACTTATACAGGGCGATTAAAAAAAAATCCGTTTTTCAACATCGAAATTCTTCACTATTTCTAATGGAACGCCCTGTATATCAAAACGTCAAAAAAAAGATTAATGTTTAAGGTTTCCATGTACCAATCGACATCTTCCCTAAAACTTGGAGTTTTAGCCGAAAAAGAATCAAAATCGAAATCTTGGTATTTTTGCAAACGCATGCAACTTCATGTTGTAGGAACTTGATATCACTATGGCAAACAATTTTATAATTGTCTAGTTAGATATCAATTAAGTTGAGATACATTTTCCAAGATTTAACGAGTTCCAAAGTATTTTCTCTGGAACTCATTAAATAGAGATACCCCAACAGTAACAGTTTGGTGTGCAATCTCTATTGAGAAAAAATACAGACCATTTTCATTGATGAACCAACAATAAAAGAAACTGTATACACTGATATGTTCTTTTTCTCATAGTTGAGACAGGAGGTTATCTTGAATGATATCTATTTTCAGCAGGATGATGCCCCAACTTCATTATTCATTAATAGCAAGGGAATCACTAGATATGACATTTGGGGAAAGACGGATAAGGAGAGCTCGCCGCTGGCCTATAGAATGGACACCTTACTCTCTTGACTTAAGAGTTCTAGACTCTTTTCTCTGGCGTTATGTCAAGGAAAAATGCGGCAATACTTTGCTATAATAGCCTGAAAGATCTTAAGCGGAACATTTGTAATGTCATTGAAGCGATTCTCCAGCAAATGTTACACAATTCATTCAAACATTTATTGATCCACAAATGCCTGGAACAGAATGGCTAACATATACATATAGGTACCTACAGCTTTTTGTATAGTTTTATGCAGTTGTTATTAACTTTTTATTAGGCAAACATAAGGTTGAAGCTTTGAAATTAGGTGTTTGCAAAAATACCAAGATTTCGAATTTGATTTTTTACGATTAAAACTTCAAGTTTTAGGGACGATGTCTATTGGTACATGGATACCTTAAACATGAATCTATTTTTTGACGTTGCGATATCCAAATAGTGGAGAATTTCGGTGTTGAAAAACGGATTTTTTTTTACTCGCCCTGTATAAGTTTTGAAAAAATTTGAAACCTACTAGAAAAAACTTTAGACCAAGAGAAATCGAATGGCACAAACCGCAGGTAGCTAGCTCACCTGGTTTAAAAGTTATAAGCATTTAAAATGGGTCACTCTCGGCTGGGACACCGTATTATACGAAATATAATGTTCATTAATCTGAATCTACTTTTAATTCATTAAAAATATCTATCAAATTTTCTAGCCTCAAATCCTCTTATTAATTCCAGGTCATGCTCTACAGAATGTTCCTCGCGACACTCTTTTTATCCATGATGGAAACAACCACAGCTCAGAGTCTACTAATCGAACGATACAATTCTATAGCAGTTTCTCCAGCCACTTACAACTGCTCAGTTTACTCGCATGAAGAGGACTTTGAGGTTCACTGTAGAGGAGACGGCCTAGCTGAAATTCCGAATTATTTGAACAGTACGCTGAATAAATTAATTATATCGAACACCAAGAATATTTCTGTTATTGGTATGAAGTCATTCGAACCTTATAGGACGAGACTCCAAGATGTGTAAGTAGATAAAAAAATTATAACAAGCTTAATTTTCAATTGAGTAATTTCATCTTTCAGAATTTTATCGGATTTGCCAAATTTGAGGGTTATTGAAGAAGGAACTTTTGCTGACATTTCCACATTGAGGACGATGTAAGTAAACAAATATCTAGTTATAAGTATAGTCAATAAAGTTACCAAGAAATGTGTGTAAATCTTGACTAAATGCAATAATTACATAATGTAAATTCAAACATAATATGAAAACTTAAAACAATGAAAAATTCAAATATTGCAATTATGACATTTTACACCTTACACTGATAAAAAGTAGTATTTCAAACATAAAACATGTAAAATGCTTTACATAAATCAATACGAAAACAAAAATCATTATGAAGCTATTATTGCTTATTAAAATGCTATTTTTAAATATATAATCTAGGAAAAGGTTTTTTACATGTTTTGCATGGTTCAAATTTAATCAACGACTTTTTTGTTTCAGATATATCTACAATGCCCCACAAATTAAGTTCATTTACGGCCTTTTAAAAGGAGTAACATCAAAACAATTTAGATCCTTGTAAGTTTTTTTATTTTTGTGACATAAGATTTTTTTTTCGGACTAGATTGAAATGAAACAAGGTTTTACAATTATCGGTATTTTGCTTCTATGAAAAAATGTTTATGTATGTTAAATGCATTAAAATTGTAGGTACTTAATTATATATAATTGCTAATTATAAAAATAGATGTTTCGCGATTAAACTGATAATAATGTTCAAATGATTATAATTTTCAAAAGTTTCATAGATTATGGAACATAGAGAAATATTTTCATGTAAGATTTATTTTATTTTTCACGGGCGGTTTTATTTACAAATTTAATGGAGGTGAATAAATACGAGAATAATAAAACTGACTACAGACAATAACAATCAAATATCCGCTGCGTTATAAGTGTCATGTTCATACTTTCATCCGTACCTAATGATATATTCTTCTCTATATCTAAAGAAACGGTCAATACATGTTAGAATATAGGAGTATCTTTTTGAATAAGGCAACGAACCGATAATATCCAATGGTTTTGTGAGCCCTATAACTTTATTCTTCTGACAACTTTGACAGTTGCTTACCCAAAGTTGAAATATCTTTATTCATATTGGGCCAAATAAAGGGTGAACATATGAGACGTTGAGTTGCTCTGATTCATGGATGTGTCAGTGAATGAAGTATCGCAAAAACTTTTGAAACGAACGATCTTGGTGCGCCCAAGCTCAAATCACATGCAAGAGACTTAATATAAAATGGAAGAAAAGCCAATTCAAATGATGTGTCGTCAGAAGACATAAGTTTTGATAGTTCTGTGTCCACTGTTTGTGCTTCTAAAATTTCAAAATCCATATCATTAAGTAATGAAAAATCTATCGAGTTGATTTTCATCCTCAATAAGACGTCTGCTATTACATTGTCTGTTCCCGCTATATGCCGAAAATCCGAAGTGAAAGATGCAATGAAGTCTAATGGCCGTTTCCGCCAACTATTTTAGGGGAGCCTTAACGATAAGTATTTCCTAAAATGAGATTTTTACATGGAGAAATGTCAGTTTAAGGAATACTTATCCTTAAGGCTACCCTACAATAGTTGGTGGAAACGACCATAAATGACGAATTTCTCTCGGATTGGATTGCAAATAGTCATGGGTCAAGCAAAAACTTCAACTTTATTCTCTAGAGGATGATTTTCTTCTGGATTTATTTTGTTGCCCAAGATCTCTAAGACAGCAAATTGTTGTTCCAAAAACAAACTTTGTGTTGCTCAACTGTTTCACTGTCAATTGAACAGTCATCCAAATAGTGTCGCAAATCAGAGTGAATTTATTTATGAACCGTTGAAATATTTGAGCGGCATTTAATAGTAAAAATCGCATAGTTATTCATTCGAACAATCCAAATAGCTGTCTTTTCAATATCTGCTGTGTTGATTGGAATTTGATGATATGCTCGTACCAAGTTGAAGCTGGAAACTCAAATCATGAATATGAGGAATTCCATTTCTAACAGGTTTAGTAAAGGTATTCAGTGCCCTGTGCCCTATAATCTCCGCCAGGGTCTCCAACTTCCGTTTGATTTAGAAACCATATGTAATGGAGAAGACCAGTTGCTTGATGATGGTCTAATAATTCCTAAATCAAGAAGCCGAGTGAATTTTCTTTTAACAATTTTAAGTTTCTCCGGTGAAAATCTGCGAGGTTTTGAAAATACAGGGGAGGGCCACCTGTTTCGATGAAATGTATAGTTTTGTTAGAAGCTCTTTTATTATTTTCATATTGTTTGATGTAGACCACAAGACTTTTGTGATGTCATGTCAGGGGATGACAATAATTATTAAAGTATTTGAATTATCAGAGATGTCACACATTATTCTTCGTAGAATAATAGTTATTTATATATAACAAGTACATAGAATAAGGTGTCATTTACATCCACTCAACTTAACTTAACGTACGGAAAAATAATAATGCAGAAAAGTTGAAGATCATGTACTTATATGTAGTTGTTTACATCCACTTAAAAATTAAGAAAATTAACGTAACATACGGAAAAGTTGAACCAACTTGAACTTAAGGAAATTCGTGCCTTAATTTCAATAATAATTATGAATGACAGACAAATTGAACTAGTCTGTGATTATCAATGTCATTGGTGATTACACGTAGGAGGAAAATTAACTTCATTGTGAATACACACCTTCTCAGTTTCGTACGTTAATTATAATTTTCCCTACGTTAAGTTAAGTTAAGTGGATGTAAATGACCCTTAAGGCTTTATTATACAAATAATGTTATGGCCGAGCGAGCTTGCGAGCGAGGCTATTAAATAATGAGTCAATAAAGCCTGTTTATGTAACCGTAATACATGATTGTATGTACGATTGCGACTGGTTTTTATTAAAAACTAGCTGACCCGGCGAACTTCGTACCTCCTCTGAATTATTAAATACCTATTAAATGTTGTGTTAACGTATTTATTAACTGAATTAAATTCAGTTTTTTTCGATGGTGAATTTGGCTTTGGTCGAAGAAAATTAATTTTTACTCTCTGGATCAGAAGTCACCTAAAATTAAAATTTTACATCATCCCTTTTTAGGCATCTTGTGGGCATTATTCTTATAAAGTCTACCACCAAATAAATAAACTCAGGCACAGGAATGTTCAAAAAATGTAAAGAAAACAAAAAAAATCTCCAGCGCAGCCCTGTTTCATTTTATCTGCACTGCATGCACTGCAATACTCCATCTGTTCTACTGTATCTGCACTATTCTACTCTTTCTGCACCACTTTATCTGATCGGAATAGTGGAATAGTTCTGTTCAGAATAGCTCCAGTTCCTTAGCAGTATTCTGTTCTACTGTATCTGCAATGAAATTACCGCGCAACGGCGAGCTTCGTTCTAGGTACCTATCATATATGGCGCCGTATACAAAATGGTTGTGGCGGACTCATAACCTGGCTCTCTGCCACTCGACACCAGCCGGACGGAGCACTCCGAACAGTCGGCACGGAACACGGCTGTCAAGGGATGCCTAACAGGAGAAACGGAACTTAGCCACAGAACGTCAATGGTCAAGCGTCAAGAAATGACAGGGAGACCAGTTCGCACTCTTTCGGAATGAACGAACCAACAACAAAATAAAATACACAATTAAAACATTGTCATTCTATTTATTTTTGGAAATTTTTACTGTGAAGAACAATTAAAAATAAAGTGCTTTCCTCAAATTGTTTTTGTGCAAAGTGTGTGACAATAAAATCCACATGGTTTGCAATGAAAATGTGACGGTAAACTTGGTATCGGTTATAAGAGATGGTGCCGTATGCGGGCTTAGTGAGTTTTTTTCATAAATAAGTAAAATAGATAATTTTTTTTTTTTTTGGATTTTTTTGATTTATTATCCTAGGATGGACAAAGACAAATCCAATAAAGCAAAAATCATAAAAATCAGTCCAGCCGTTCTCGACTTATAAGTGCTCAAATACCAACACAACTGTGTTTTATATACAGTGTGTCCCAGATTCGCTTCTCTATACAGGGATCTCGACTCCTATTATACCCACAGCAAAGGTTAAATGGGGAAAGTTCTAGAGAAAGCTAAGAGAATTCGATAATCGGCTCCAGATTAACAATCGCCCAATTAGATTTGGAAATATCGGCGAAAAACCGAAAATTACGGATTTCGTTTTTTGCCAGTTAATCCGAAACGGTTGATTTGACAGCTGTCAAAATGTGACATTATTTATTTTAAGACCATTGAGATAGCATGTATGACATGTCTCAATCGTCTTTTGTTATTTCGCAACTTGCCTCAACTTTTATTTTTATAATGGCCGCCATATTGGATTTTTCGATTTTCGGAGAAAGCATAGAATTTCCAGTCTAGTGATGTATCACAAGTGGATAAAAGATTTGAGTATCATCGAGAAATCAAATTTCGTTAAGTTAATATCTGGCCAACGATTCTGAAACTAACGGGGCATCGGTAAAGGAAATCCAGTTGTAGAAAAATGGCTGTCGGCTGATTTCATTCATAAAATACCTACCCAGTTGCGTGCGGAACTTTTTGGAAGTATAATATCCATCGCCACTGGATATTTCAAAGCAAGTCGATATTTCAAGATGCAAGGATAAAGTTACGGGAACCCTGGCCAGCCAATGGCGAGACGTAAGCCCCATGGCAACCGCATGGTTCCGTGGCAACGGCGATCGTGCCAAAAACTCCACCAATCACGTTCATCCAGGCCGGATGTTTGCCAAATTGACAAAAGCTGATGGTATGTTTAGAAAATGTTTACTTTTGATAATAGACAAAATTAGATGTTTTTGTTTAGGATAAAATAATTCATAGTGTCAAAGTTGTCTATTAATAATAGTAAGTTCTCTTCCATTAAAATCATAAACCTGGACACAGAAATTGTCGAAACCTGTTGAAAATGGCGGTATTCCTTATTCAAATGAAGAAAGGTTTGACTTGTTAGCGCTGTAATTGTAGTCACTCAGAAACGCCGACATTATCTCAGCAAGGTATTTGGAGATGTACCCTGAACGAGGGCAGCCTCATAAAACGTAATTCACAGAAATCGTAGTTAATTTAGCGGATAAAATATTGATAATGAAAATCGTGACGGAAACATTTCACTAGCTGTCAACGAAAATCCTAGTGCATCGGTAAGAACTGTAGAACGTGAAATTGGTGTGCCAAAATCAACGGTACAGAGAGTAAAAAAGTTTTTTCCAAGTTATAATGCCGTGGTCTAGTAATACTCATTCCGTCTACTGCTGCGGTAGTCATCTTCAAAGGCGGTGTGGTAGCGGAAGAAGTGTTCTCATCCGTGTTCCTCCGATGACTGCCATCTTGAAATATTGACTTACATTGAAATATCTAATGGCGGTGATTTACTTACGATATACTTCCAAAAAGTTCCGCACGCACCTGGGTAGGTATTTTATGGAGGAAATCAGCCGACAGCCATTTTTTTTACAACTTGATTTCCCTTACTCCGTAGCTTCATAATCGTTGGC